AATAAAGAAATAATGATCTGCTATTACAAATCAAGTCCAACAAGAAGAGGATATCTGAAAAGAATGCACCAGTTCTGTTCTTTAACATCCAGAATCAGAAATAACAGAACAGAGGCTAGCAGATCAAGACTGATTTATAATACGAAATAAAGAATTCACAGAAGTAGAATTGGAAGAACTGCAAGGTCTACCCAGGGCAAAGAAACTGAAGCCTTGCCAGAAGTAGCTCAGACAGTAGAGGCAAACCAGGGGGAGTTGGCAGCAGAGGAAGTTAGCATCACTACTGAACCATTCTTATTCCCAAACCAGGCACCCTCTCCTCTGCCTTCTCCTCAGAAAGAACAAAATCCTCTAACTGAAAAACAAGAGGAACTGAAATGAAGAATAAATGAGCATCTAGAGCAGCACAAAAGCAACAGAATAAGGTTGCCTGCATTGAAGCTAGTTATAAAAAAAACAGCTAGCACAAATATTAAAAGATGCCAATGCTATAATATCAAATATAAGTACCAGCTCACTGGAAGAAACAAACCAATTGATTTACAGCACAGCTGCAGTTATAACTGCAGTAAATAAGATGCAAAATCAACAAGATGCAAAATCAACAAACAAGAAAAAAAGCCAAACAGTGCAATACCAAAATGGAAGATCAGGTTGAAAAATAAGATCAGCATGCTAAGATCATATGCAAGCAAGCTAGAACAGATAAAAGAAAAGAAGCTGAAGAATAAGAAGACCAAAGAATACCTGATCCAGAAATATAACCTAGAAACAAGGAAGATCAAGAAAACACTGGACATAATAAAACAGTAAATAATAGCCATAGCCAAGAAAATCAGCAGATACAAAGCTTGAATTTCACACTACAGGCAGAATCTCCAGTTTCAGTCAAATCAGAAATGTTAATATTTTTCAAGGATACTCACTCTCACCACTACTGTTTGTCATTGCATTGATTCCTCTGTTGACAATACTGAATAAGCCAGGCCATGGCTATCAAACATCAAAAACATCTGCTAAGTTATCCCACTTCCTTTACATGGACAATCTGAAGCTGTATGGAAAAACACCACCTGAAATGGAATCGCTGCTCAACACTGTTCAAATATACAGCCACGATATTGCAATTGAGTTTGGACTGGACAAATGTGCCACCCTTACCATCAACAGGGGAAGAATAGTGAAAACTGAGGGAATCAAGATGTCCTATGGAAATAACATCAAGAGTCTGGATGAAGAAGATCACTACAAATACCTTGGCATCCTTCAGCCTGGCAACATCAAGCATACTGAAGTCAAGAAGAAGATTAGTAGTGAATACATCAGAAGAATGAAGAAGATCTTAAAATCCAAACTCAGTGGAGGAAATACCATCATGGTGATTAACACCTGGGCAATTTCAGTCATTAGATATACAGCTGGAAGTAGAAGCCCTGCATAGGAAGACCAGAAAAATAATGACAATGAATCATGCCCTTCATCCATGCAGCAACATTGACAGACTCAACTTACCAAGGAGTATAGGTGGGTGTGGAATATTGCAAGTACACCAGACGGTTGAAGAAGAAAAAAGGGCATTAGAAAACTATCTGAAGCTCAGTGAAGAAGATGTACTGAAGGTAGTACACCATGAAGGCTTACTGAATATCCAAGAGACCAAACTGTGCTACAAGAAAAAACAAATGAAGAATAGAAAGGAGATATGGCAAGGCAAAGTATTACATGGCCAGTACACAAAAGAACTAGCAGGCAAAGCAGATAACAACAAGACCTGGCAATGGCTAAGAGCAGGATAGTTGAAGAAAGAGACAGGCTAATTCTGGCTGTACAAGACCAAGCCTTAAGAACAAATGCATTAAAGCCAGAATTGAGAAGACTGCAACAGACAGCAAATGCTGCCTCTGCAAAGAAGCTGAAAAACAGTGGACCACCTAAATAGCTGCTAAAAGAAGATTGCACAGACTGATTATAAACAACAGAATGACAAAGTAGCAACAGTGGTTGGAATATCTGCAAGAAATACCATTTGCCTGCGAGCAAGAACTGGTGGGATCACAAAATAGATAAAGTAATAGAACATGAAGAAGCTAAAGTGCTCTGGGACTTTAGAATTCAAGCAGACAAGCCCCTGCCACACAACAT